CACCAGAAGGTTTCATGGTAACAGTGGTATTTATATCCCAAGGTGGCTTTGTTGACAGAATGAGGGACAAAAAAAGAGGACAATTCAGCAGAGTAAAAAATAAAGGTACAAAGACAGAAAAACACAAGAAGTGTTTTAAAAGACATAGACTCTTAAGTCAGACAGGTCTTGAACAAAATTGTAGCTCTACCACCACAGCTGTGTGATCCCCACCAAGTTCCTTAACCACTGGTCTCATCTCTAAAATGGCATGCAATCCCTATCTCATAAAGAAACTGTGAGACTTAATTAATGCATGCAAAATGGTAAAAACTATGTAATGAATAAATGCACTGTTCAACTTAAAAGAAGAACACAGAAGATAACGAGGGTAAAAAGACAGGCAGTGGCCAGATCATGGAATGGAAGGATTTAAATGAAAACACAGAAACTAAGAACTTGATGCCACAGACTTTGGAGTAGCTACAGAAGATTTTAGGCAGACTTAGCATGGTCAGATCACAACTTGCAGCAAATGGGACTGACTGAAAATGAGGAGCCAACAAAAGAAAGGAATTGGAATTAAATTGACAAGTAACAGCATATGCTCAAAATTTTAAACCAATTTCATTCTTAGATACTATAAATGAATCAATCATCAACCAATCAATAAGTCTCTCATTTCTTAGGCCATCAAACTAAAATTCAACCATATTCTTTGGTACAGGTCTTTTTGGTAGCAATACTGAATAAACCCTACAGCTACTTAGTGCCAGTAGTACCGATCTACGTATCTTATCTACACCAAAAATAAGGTAGTATGTTAGCACATCAGTGTCTTCTCAACATTTTTCACAAAGAAGCAGGCTTTTTATTTTAAGAGCCTGAATGCAACTATCTATCCTATTCTGATTTTTAAAGGTAAAATTGACTGTGCTGATTGCATTATCCTCCACAAGATGGCACACTATTTTTTTAAATTAAATTCATTTTTTCAGTTTGAAACAGTATAGAATACAAATGCTATCGCACTAACACAGCATGAGCCCAATTTTAGATAAAATTCTTGTGTCAAACACAAGAAGTAGAAGTGTTAAAGGCAAGTGAAGGAGGTTATCTTAATTCTTAGTTTAATATAGACACTGAGAGGGGGGAAATGAAGTGAAAAATGCAATTTTAAGAAATATAAATTTATTTTCAAGATAAAAATAAAACATTGTCAGAATATTTAGTTTAAAAGTTTAATACTTCTAAAAATGCAATTAGGAAGACCTTAAATGGACATGAGAAAATTTGAAGAGAGCAATAAAAAATAAGGGGAAAGATATTTTATAAGCTTCAGCCATTTCCTTGAACTCATAGGATGCAGCAGATTATCAACTGGATTCATCGACCACCCTTTTTAAAACAAAGTTGTGACTTAAAAACTATCTAGATGACACTGATAGCGAATTCAACACAGTTATTTTCCCAGCTAAAAGGTTGTATTTTCTGCCTATACATTGTATTCTTAAATAAGGCTATATTTCAGAATGCCTTTGTGATAATAGTATACACTGAGTGGCCAGATTATTATGATCTGTGAATGCATAATAATCTGGCCACTCAGTGTATTTGTATCTCAAATGGGTACCAAAAGTATTCTAGACTTTTGCAAATATTGAAAGTAGATCAACCACCTATTTGCCTTGAGCTTTTTATCAGCCAGTGCAAAGGGGGAAAACTGATCAGGTGCACAATTTCTATTATCTTTGATATAAAATAAATGAGGTACTCAAGAGAAGTACACCGAGTGACCAGATTATTATGCACTCAGAGATCATAATAATCTGGCCACTCAAGTGTATATATAGCTACAGATCTATAGCCATATGAATATATTTGTAATTCACAACAAAAACCCATGTTCACCTACTTCCTTCAAAGGTTTCTTTAAGGAACATTAGGAAAACCAATTATGTGGCACTGTGTGTAAAAACTAAAAGGCATTTGCATAGAATTAATATAGAATAGTCAAAGGTACAGCTTTCCATAGAAAAGCTCTTCCTAGTGACAAACATCACCCCCTCAAACTTCTTTTGTATATATCAAATACTGGGGTTTTGCCTGGATCTTACTATCTATTCTGATTGAGAGAGGGAAAAAGGCAGGCATTATAGGTTCTCAGAATTTAGTGCAAGTTACATAACAAAGAACTTCCTGGTCGAATGAACAGTTAAATTTTCACTGAACAGACTTGAACCCTGAAACAAAAAGACATGCCTTTTCTCTCTTTTTATTCACTTTATTTCCTCGGAGTGGAAACACAATTCAGAATGGAAGCATCTAATAAATACAGAGTTATCAGGTACAGAGATTATAATAAATGATACTGACATATACATCCAATAGTACAAAATACTAGATTCCTTCTCTAACATGTTATAAGTGATAGAATACACTTAGGAAGGAAAGTTTGAAAATTAAATAGTAACATTTAGGTCATCATGTACTTGTTTAATTTTTTTTCATCATTATGATGTACCTTTAAAAATGGTAACTCTATTCTTAGAGCTGCAGCAAAATGGGGGAAAAAACTATTATAGACTAAAAATAAATAAAATTTAGGTATTATTAAGTATTTCATATTTAAGGAAACAACATATATGAAACACTAAGAAGATGAAACATTTTAAAAAGATGATTTTTTTTGTAAATGAACTTTTTCGTAAATTCCTCTTCGTAATGAACTTTATGTTTTACTCTAGTAAAGGTGTACTTAATTTTTTGAGTCAAAAGTCCCTTTGATGATCAGAATTCATGGATTCTCTTCCCAGAAAAGATGTATATACAAACAAAATTTTGTACATAACTTCAATAAATTAAGAGCCTTCATTCTGGAAATCTTCAGAATGCATACTTAAAATAACAACTGGGCTTCTCTACACTCTATTTTACTCCTTAGGTACCAACTTCATAAAAATGAAACTTTCAGGTTCTTCAAACTCTACTTGAGAAAATCATTCTTCATTATTAACCTACCTACACATTATCAACAAAATTACTAAACAGGGTTTATTTTTTTTTCTTTCTAAAAATCTTCAAAGTATACTAGAGGCCCGGTACACGAAATTCGTGCACGGGGGGAGGGGGTGTCCCTCAGCCCAGCCTGCACCCTCTCCAATCTGGGACCTCTCCAGGAATGTCTGACTGCCCTCTCACAATCCAGGACTGTTGGCTCACAACTGCTCACCCAACTGCTCACCTGCCTGCCTTCCTGATTGCCCCTAACCACTTCTGTCTGCCAGCCTGATCACCCCCTAACCACTCCCCTGCCAGCCTTAGTGATGCCTAACTGCTCCCCTGCCAACCTGGTTATCCCTAACTGCCCTCACCTGCAGGCCTGGTACTCTTCCCCACCCCCCCAACAGCTCTCCCCTGCAGGCCTGGGTCCCTCCCAACTGCCCTCCCCTGCTAGCCATCTTGTGGTGACCATCTTGTGGCCACATGGGGGCAGGATCTTTGACCACATGGGGAAAGCCATCTTGTGTGTTGGAGTGATGGTCAATTTGCATATTCCTCTTTTATTAGATAGGATAGAGGCCTGGTGCACGGGTGGGGGCTGGCTGGCTTCCCCTGAAGGATGTCCCAGATCAGGGTAGGTGTTGCCTTGGGGCGTGGGGCAGCTTGGGTTGAGGGGCCTCTGGTGATTTGCAGGCCGGCCACACCTACCAGCTAGCTAAGCGGAGGCCCTGGTATCTTGGGTTTATTTAATTTCTACAAAGTTTACTTAAACTTTGTAGCCTGGAGCAGAGCCAAGCCTTCTGCTTGCTCTGTGGCCACCATTTCTGTTGGAATTTATTTACCTTCTATAATTGAAACTTTGTAGCTTTAAGTGGAGGCCTGAGCCAGACCAGGTATGCAAAAAGCTTGGCTTCCTCCAGTGCTGGGGGCAATCCTAGCCTCTTGCTCTTTCCAGCTCTGTGGCTGCGGCCATTTCTGTACTGATTTATGTATCTTCTATCATTGAAACTTTGTAGCCTAGGCCGGCAAGGGCAGGAGGAAAGCTTGGCTTCCTCCATTGCTGGGGAAACCCAAGCCTCCCTCCTGCTCTCTGTGGCCATAGCCATCTTGGTTGGGTTTATTTGCATATTCGCTCTTGACTGGCTTATGAGTGTGGCTTGTGGGTGCAGCAGAGTGGTTAATTTGCATATTACTCTTTTATTAGATAGGATGCCTTTTCTTACTTTCTAAAATTAGGAAAACATAATTATTTTATGTAAAAAAAATAACTATTCCTAAAGTACTATGACTAAATGAATATTAGCACTCTATGTAGTAAAGTATTTTAAAATCAGATAATAAAGTCAAATTAAACTAAAATTTTGGCATTATTTGCTTTTCAAGATGGTAATTTGAAACCTACGGTATTATAATTTTAGCATTAACTTCTAAATATAATGGTATTTAAGCTGTCCTCACCTATAGAAAAATTTTCCATACCGAATTATAGAAAATTTAAAAGACAGCAAAACAGAATAAAGCAAATGATTCAGAGACTTGTGAACAGTGTTTAGCAATTAATGGATCCAACAACACTCAATTAGTCCAACAAGACTAATTTAGAGATAGTTTCTCCCTCTAAACTATATCTTGTGTCTCCTTCATTACTATAATTCCCATAGTATGACATTAAAATATAAATGCACTGAAAATCCAGAAATATATAAAAATTTACTATGAAAATCAAATACAAATACACCGCCCCCCCCCCCCCACACACACACACACAGCTATAAAGGGCTACACATTACATTTCTTTTAGGTTATTTAATTTCATTTTGTTTAGCAGCTTCTCCTTCTCATGAGTCACTACCTAGTTTAGCTTATGCCTGTGGCTAATGCCTATTTTCTTTGCTACTTTGTTATGAGGATTAACATTTAACCTTTGGAATGAATGAAAAATAAATTCATGTTTACCTGATATTTAAAAATGCATAAATTTAATTTAAAATTTGCTTTCCTTTGCAAGTATCTCTCACCTGTTTGAACATCAATAACCATCTGATGGCCCCCTCTCATTCCTGGTCGGTTATCTTCTCCATCACCTGAAGTAGAAATAATATTTTATTTTAAAGGAAAAGCACAGAACAACAGCAAACCCAAAGTAACTTTATTCATAAATTTGTAATGACTAGTGCAGTGGTCGGCAAACAAATTAGCCAACAGAGCCAAATATCAACAATACGATTGAAATTACTTTTGAGAGCCAAATTTTTTAAACTTAAATTTCTTCTAACACCACTTCTTCAAAATAGACTTGCCCATGCCATGGTATTTTGTGGAAGAGCCATACTCAAGGGACCAAAGAGCCACATGTGCTCACGAGCTGCAGTTTGCCGACCATGGGACTAGTGAAAATAAAACACATTTATTCTTTTAATAGTAAGTAAAAAGACTCAAAAGAAATAATATGATACATAGCTATCCTATATAATAAAAGACTAATATGCAATGGCAGAACAACTGAATAACCAATGGCTATGAAGTGTGCTGACCACTAGGGGCACACAGGGAACATTGTTGGTGTCAGCACAGCGGGATAGTGGAGCAGGTAAGCGGGGGCACCAGACTAAGGCTGGGTGCTGATTGCTGTCATCAGGGCAAGCCTCTGTTGGTTACTGAAAATCCTTGCTCCTATGTCCCACGGTCCTGCCCAGCACTTGTACCTGCTGCCGGTGCCAGCCCTACTTGCACCCAGTTCTAGCAACAGAGCAGCCACTCGCACCCGCTGCCGGTGCCCAGCACTGGTCCTGATCATTCGGTGCTCAGTGCCGTCAATGTGTGCAAGCAGCAGCAGCTTGCCTGATCACTCCTGTGGGCTTTTCCACCTCCCCCTGCTCCTGAGGGGAGATCTGGGCACCAGCTGCCATTTCACATCCACTGCTGGTGCCAGCCCCAAAGGCTCCAAGCTGTCAAAGGGTGCGAGTGGGGCTGTTGCAGGGAGCGGGGCTGCCAGCAGACAGGGATCTGGAGGCCATGGCAGGAGGGGCCAGATGGGAGTGTGGAGGATGGGCCAAGACCTACCCTTGTGCCCACTGCAGCCTTGTGGTCCACAGTTCCTTTCAAGATGCACAAATTCCTGCAATGGGCCCCTAGTGTTTATAATAATTATCTTGCTCTTTTTTCCAATTGCTTTCTGGCTATTATTGCAATTGGAAGCCATTTTCAATATATTTATGACCAATGTCATAAATCAGCAATAATATAGGATATTCTACAAAAACATCAGACAAGAAAACTCTAAACTACTGAAGTGACAAAGTGAAGTGGGAAACAATTACAGAATTAGATACCAGGTCTATAATCCAGGCACAGCTTGTAAGTAGAATGCACAATTTTTGAAGTTCATAAAACTAGCTACTGAAAATTAAGATTTTATCAAGTTTTACTTCCTTGATAATTTTCTTATTGTGTGAACTTTGTGCCAGTATTTCAGAAAATAGTTTCCATATAAAGACCACCTATTTTATATGAGCACTGACTGAGTAAACTAAGATTTGCTTTCCTTTTATTGTTATTTCCATTACAAAGCTTAATAGGTAGGTATGTTTAAATATAGTCAGTGAAACTTTTAAAACTGCTGTAGGAGAAAACCATTCCTAAATTTATATCTAATCTTACTTTATACAAAATTTTATATAAATGAAGATATAACTTCATTGTAATGGTTCATTCAATAAGTTACAGGGTTCTAATATCTTACTTGACATATAAACCAGAGAACCTAAAGTTTTCTTTATAACTGTCATATTAATGAAAATATATTACTTTGGCTAATAGCTTTCGTTGTATTAGCTTCTGCCTATGTAAAATAGGAAACATGCAACTTTTTACAAATTTCACAGGGATACTATGAAAAAACTAAAATGTCATTTGCAACAACATGGATGGATCTGGAGAGCATTATACTAAGCGAAATAAGTCAGTCAGAGAAAGATAAATATCACATGGTCTCACTCTTTTGTGGAATATAATGAACAACATAAACTGATAATCAAAAACAGATCCAGAGACAGAGAAGCATCGATCAGATCGTCAAACCTCAAAGGGAAGGTAGGGGAGGGTGGGGATAAGGGGAGAGATCAACCAAAGGACTTGTATGTATGCATATAAGCCTAACCCAGCGTTTTTCAACCGCTGTTCCACGGCACACTAGTGTGCCGCGAGATGTTGCCTGGTGTGCCATAGGTGCAGACAAGACAAGAATTTTATAATTTTTCACTATTTTGTTTACTTAATATTTCATAATAGTAATTATAAAATACTTTCTTTGTGTTTATTTGATTCCTATTCAAGAGAATTACTTTATATATAGTCAATATAGGCACAGAGTTAAATTTTTTAACATTTTCTAATGGTGGTGTGCCTCGTGATTTTTTTCATGAAACAAGTGTGCCTTTGCCCAAAAAAGGTTGAAAAGCACTGGCCTAACCAATGGACACAGACATGGGGTGTGTGTGGGGGGTGGAGGTGGGGGCATGAGTGGAGATGGGGGGGGCCAAAAGAGAGAGGGTAAGAATGTAATACCTTAATCAATGAAGAAAATTAAAAGAAAGAATGTTGCCAAAGAAGGAGACATATGTAATACTTTAAACAATAAAAAATAAATAAAAAAATTAATGAATTAAGTAAATTTAAAAAATGCATTTACTACCTTTTGGGCATTTTTTTTTTTTTTACATGAGACAGAACTAAAATTCTACCGTTTAACCTTTTATTTCTGTATATGGAAAAACAAAATAAATTCTAACTTACACTGACCAAAAAAGTCAGTTCTTATATAAAAAATAAGATGCAAAACTGAAGTTTTTCATTACTACTGTACTCAAAAGCTAATCATTCAAAAGGTGTCTGAAAATTCTTTCTCCTTTCTAATAGTTAGACTTTGCAGTTCATTATCATTGAAGCTTTTCCTTTTCTTCTTTTTTCACCCAGTCAGTAATACCTCTTGCAAGAGATTAAGAAAACAGTGAAATAAATTTATTGTATGTTTGTACTTTATATATTTAATCTATTAGTTTTCAAATACGCAATTAAAATGTTTGCTATAAATCTGCTTCTTTGAATAAAATTACCTCATATATGACTGATAAAAATAGGAGAATTGATATTCCTATAATACAGAAATTATGAGTGCTTATAGCAATTTTCTCCAGTATATTAATGTATAACACTTTCAGAAGAAAGTTTTCTCACAATTAAAGAGAAGATCTTAACAGTCAATATACGATGATCATAGGAAAAAGTTGAATATCTATAGAACTGCCTTCCTTCTTTAAAAAAATATATTTTTATTGATTTCAGAGAAAGGAGGAGAGATAGAAACATGAAAGATGAGAGAGAACCACTGATTGGCTGCCTCCTGCACACCCCTTAATGGGGATCGAGCCTCCAACCCAAGCATGTGCCCTGACCAGGAATCAAATAAAAACCTCTTGGTTCATAGGCTGACATTCAGCCATTGAGCAACATCAACCGGACACAAATGGTACCGTTTCCCCGAAAATAAGACAGTACCTTATATTAATTTTTGCTCCCAAAGATGTGCTAGGTCTTATTTTCAGGGGATGTCTTATTTTTCCATGAAAAAGAATATGATACACATTTATTGTTAAATGAAAATAAAGGAAATGTATTACCTGTATACGGTATGGTAGTACGGTAGTTGGCAACACAAACCAGACAAACTGTAAATTCTACAGTATCAAGAATTTACTCATTTATTCAATGACAAGCATGTTATCATCTTCTGGATCATCATCATAACAATCCAATTCCTGAATTTCCTGGTGAATTTCTTGTGACTCCTTTTCTTTCAGAATCAGTGGACCAAATCTCTCATGTTTACCCTAGGGGGGAGGCCCTTATTTTCGGGGGAATGCCTTATATTTCACTCAGAAGGAATCCTGTAAGTAGGTCTTATTTTCGGAGGATGTCTTATTTTCGGGGAAACACGGTAGTTGCATTAGAGAATTGCTGCACTTTCTATTATATTAACCATCTGGCAGAGTAATGAGTGCAGATGGGGTGAAAAAAAAATTTCTCCACCTGAAAAAATAGGTTAAAGAAGAAGACTACACCCTGAATCAAGATTTCAAGTTTGATTAAAATAGTGTTTATTAGAAATAAATGTTCTCTATGTTCTACAGTTATAAGGAGAAAGCATGAGCACAGAATTTAAGGCTCCAAACTCATTTTGATGCTCAATATAAGTGCCTGCAAAGATTTAACTATATTAATATTATTTATTTTTATTAGGATTACTACTCTCATTTTTATTAGTATCTGGTCATAAAGTTCCATAGATCTAGAATGGTATGCCCATTTCTATTTTTCTCATAAGCCCTATTAGCTTTAGTGAGCAATTTTACAGAACTTAAGGTTTTTCAGAAACATGTTCGGCATTACAACGCAATGACCTATAATTTTGGTGTCTTTATAAAAGTATTTTATGATGGTATTCTATGTAAAAACTGTCCAATCTCCTGTTATAGCTGTAAAACAAAAAGGTTTAAAAGAAAAATTCTATATGATAAAAACCGAATATGCTAATTTCTGGTCATTCAGTCTGTCACTCAACCAAAGTGTAATATGCTAATGATATGCTAAGGCTACTTAATCGCTCGCTATGACGTGCACTGACCACCAGGGGGCAGATGCTCTGACCGTTAGGTGAGCTTGCTGCTGTGTTCTGGCTGACTGGAACTGAGTGAGAAAGATAGGCAGTCCCTTCTTGGCTGGCCAACCTCCTGCATCCCACAGGCCAAGCCAAGGGACTCCACTGGTGCACAAATTTGTGCACCAGGCCTCTAGTTTAATATAATAAACTAAGTCTGCCACCTACTTAAGGAACCTACGTCTTGTTTTATGGTTTTGTTTTGTTTTAATTAATTTCTTTTTTTATTGTAAGTATTACATATGTTTCCCGGCCACTCCCACCCCCAGGACAAGCCCCCACTGTCTTGTTTGAAAACCTGCTTTTCATTAACAGAGCACTTTGAAATTTGAGCTACCTGGGGGAAAAAATGAAATCAAGACATTACAGCAAAAGCACCCACACCAGAAGATAGGGCTAACCTTTGGTGCTTTTGGGAATGATCTGACTCCATCGTGGCTTGTATTCCTGTTGACTGATGTACTGATTGAACAATCCATCTGCAAATAGCAGAGAATGAGAGAGAATTACAACTTAACCAGCTTAAACTTTTTATTACAGCAAAAAAGACAAAAATGTAGAAGCCTACAATCAGGGAAATTATTAATATATCATTAATACAATAGCATGTTCATAAAATACATCACTGCAGTTTTCATGCTACCTCAAATATAAAAAGTATTGGTTGACAAATAGGCCCTTATAGCTTCAAGAAAAAACAAAACAAAACACTAATCCACGAAAGTGAAAATTCCATTTTTATAGTTTTCGTTAAGTATAAAACTACATAGAGATCAAAGTACCAGTAATAGTTATTAATAAGTTTATTGAATACTTACTAACATTAGAATCCGTGCTATCTTAAAAATTTGATTTAATCTAAAAACAACTTTATGAACAAGGAGGCATTATCATGTCCATTTTACAGATGGGGAAATGAAAAAATTAAGAAATTGAAGCGAAAGCACATCTTTTAACCTAGATCACAGGTCAATAAATTCTTAATTTACTTCTTAAGAGGAATTGTTACACTAGTTACTATAACGGTCATGGAGCTTGAACTCCTCACATACATATATCCTATCCCTAAATAATTATCCCTAATCCCAGGCCTCTCAACAAAGATTAAGAAAGATATGGAACACAATATTGGCTATTGAACCATGAGGATTTTTTGAGGGGACTGCTAGGAAATATGCCCTACTTCTAAACAGACATACAGAGAAGAAAAATCTTCTATTCTTTTAAAAATTTTCATATCTGTATGCAATGTACACAATTACTATAGCAATCTGTAAAGGTATGAAAATTAAGTCAGTTCTATGATGATAACAAAGCAGACAGAGATAAAGAAACTGGATCATTGAATCTATCAACAATGAAACTACCTATGGACTTCTTGTTATGTGATACTAAAGGCACGGTGCATGAAATTCATTAACTTGGGGGTTGGGGAGAAGAAGGGGGGTTTCCCCAGCCTGGCCTGTGCCCTCTCACAGTGCGGGAACCCCACGATTGATCTCCCCAAAGAGGTAGGCCCCGCCCACCCATTTGGGGCTCCTTGATAGATTACCCCAAAGAGGTAGGCTGGAGCCAGGGGTCCCGCCTCCACTTAGCATGGAGTCGCCAGGACCCACCTCCACGCTGCGCACTCAACGTCAAGTCCCCACTCACTTGCGTTCAACTTGCCATGCACACAGCCCGCCAAACCCATGTGTGCCTGCTGCACACGAAGCCTCCTGGTGATGGGCTGTTAAGGTGTGAGGGCATCACAGTGTGAGGGTGTGACAACCACATAGGCTTTTATTAGTATAAACTAGAGGTTAGAATAGATAATAACAGTTCCTTACTTTTTAAACTATAGTTTTCTTTTATAGGAGACCAAATAGATTATAATTTATAAAGTTACCTATACAATAAATTCTTTCATTTGACTCTGATTTCAATCTGAATAAAGATTGTCCCTTTTGCTTAGTCACTGAAAGCAAATACTTTTCCAAAGAACTTACAAGTAAAACTGTCTGTTCTCCATGATTTGTATACTCGCCAGGGACGGTGTAATACACAGAAACCTCCCTAATAACTTTTTCTAGCTAATCATGAAGCTGAATTGTAACCACACTACAACACTTCAAGTCTTTTCAGATGACTTTAATGGAAATTTCCATATATACACTCATTTTTTTTATTTTTCTTTGCCTCCTAGGCTTTTCAAAATTCCTTAAAAAGAAAGTTCTACTATTCTTTCCTCCTTTTAAAATTAGTACTAATAAATTAGCATTTATATTTTGTCAAAGTAAGAGGAATAAGTAGATATTTCAGTGAGAAAGTTTCTATAATATAATTTACTCACCATAGGCTTTTCTGATAATTCTTGTCCCACTGAAACTATTTTAACCAATACTCTCCCCTCATTACAAGACTGGTAATCCTTTCCCCCCCCCCCCCCCCAGATAAAACGTTGTGGAGCTCTTACTAATAGTAAAGATAAGATTATAGTAAAAATATAAATTGTAAATTTACAACTATATGGAAAGTAAACATAGTAATCAAATTTTTTCAGTTTTGAGAAAAGCACATATGAATTAAATACTATATTTCATCCTGGAAGGGGGACTGGATGGAAGAAGGTGAGGGGATTAGCCAAAGAACATATATGCATAAGCCATGGAAATAAACAACAGTACACAGACAATAGTGTGATGATGGCCAGAGGGAAGGTGAGGGTGAGGGTGAATGGAGGGGGACAAAGTAGGGAAAACTGGGGACATCTGTAATAATGTCAATAATAAAAAAAGAAAAAAAATTAAATACTCCTTTTAAAGAGAAGATAAAATTATTCAATAAAAAATGATTTTAAAATATACATTAAGTCTACATAATAGCTACTGAAGAGGAGAGAGAGAATGTAAAACATGGGAATATATAGAAATGAGTAGCAAAACTGAAGAAGATAAGCAAATTGCATACATGAAAAATACAAAGCAAAATGTATAAAAGTAATAAATTTCACATTATTTAAAAGTAACCAATTACACCCTGGCTGGTTTGGCTCAGTGGATAGAGCATCAACCTGCGGACTGAAGGGTCCCAGGTTCAATTCCAGTCAAGACCATATGTCTGAGTTGCAGACTTTGTCCCCAGTGGGGGATGTGCAGGAGGTAGCCAATCAATGATTCTCTCTCATTGTTAATGTTTCTATCTCTTTCCCTCTCCCTTCCTCTGTGAAATCAATAAAAATCTATTTAAAAAAATAACCAATTACCATATTACTTGTTTCCCCTATAGTTACACAACTTTAAATAATTAAGTTCTTTATTTGGAAAAAAAATGGTGTTTAAGAGTTAGATAGAGCTGGAAGATCCTTCCAAATGCAGGCATGTTAGAACTTTATCATTGTTAGAACCAATATATTTATTGAAACTATGTGTATCTGACTGGTTCTACCTTATGCTCATCTTAGAAATGTCTTTATCACCTTTTTCCCCCTTATACATTCTATGACCACTCTGGGAGAGAAATCATAACCCAACTGGGGAAATTTCTGCTAATACTCCAAAAGGAGTTATCAAAGAAACAGCTCTCATCAGATTAAGGACCCTATCCCTGATCTTAAGCCATTCTGGACACTGCAGGAAAAATTCAATTCTCTAATTGCTTTTTCAACCAATCTCAGCCTCACTCTTAATACCTAAAAAGCCTACAAATACTCTTCCCATCAAGATCTTCATTCTATTTGTCTCCTATCAAAGACAACTGTCTTAAGAAAATGCTGTCAGATTTTTCAAAGTAAAAAAAAAAAAAGCAAACTCTCAAACATTATATAATTTTTGTAATTTCTTAAAGATACACACAAAAATTTAACATTGACATACATAAAAAATTTTAAAGTGATTCTGCCTGACAAGAATAAGGTGATTTTTTATTTGGGGATTTCTTCTTTGTACTTTTGTTACCCCAATTTTTTGTATCAAACACTACAATTACTAGAAGAAAAGCCACAAAACAACCAGATATATGGAACTATTTTCTGAACCTTAGGAAAACTTTGTAACATAGTTATTACCAATATAAGTCATTTCATATCTTTTGTAATCCCTGAAATGTCCATCCCTGCCAGCTCACTAGACACAGCTATGTTTCTACAAGCATTGCTTTGTACATTGACATTAGCTTTTCTGATTGATTGTTTTAATCCTCACCAAAAGATATGTTTTTATTGCGTTTTTAGAGAGGAAGGGTGAGGGAGAGGACGGAAGAGGGAGGAAAAAAGGAGGGAGGGAGAGGGAGAAACATTAATTGGTTGCTTCTGGTACACAGCCCGACAGGAGATTAAACTCACAACCTAGTTATGTGCCCTGACCAGAATGGAACAAACCTTTTGGTACATGGGACGACACTCCAACCAAGCCACCCAGCCAGGGGACATTAGCTTGTTTTAACAAGGATAAAGTATAAGCCCAAATATGCTGGAAGGATTTACAATCAGGAATGCAGAAGATATTACTTATAAAATTTATATTAAGTACCCCAAACAGAAAATATTACAAATTATGATTTTACTATAGGTCAATAAAGTTAATCTTCTTCTAAATAATGATAATTAATAGTGTATAATCTGAAATGCTCAGTATATTAAATGCTTAGAATAGAAAAAAAGGCAGAAGGTGAGAAACTTTCCTAGCCACATGGTTATCATTTTTAATGTTACTAAGTTCCTTACATTTAAACAATCTACTCATAAAAATTCTCCTTTCAATAAAGCACATTTCTAGTACCTAATGGCACTCTGACAAGTCATACCAGTTCACACAAAACAGTCATGCAAACATTTTTTTTAAATTGTTTTGAGAACTTCTTAATTTGCCTCCGTTTCCCTAACAAATTCCTTTTGTCTTCACTAGTCTAAAGTCACACAATTTTCTTTGCTATCTCTTACTCTTCTGTGCAGACGATTAGAAAACTTGAAGAAAACTATTTCAATACTAGAGGCCCAGTACACGAAAATTCATGCACTTGGGGGAGGGGGGACTCCTCTGCCAGGCCTGCACCCTCCCGCAGTCCGGGAGCTCTCAGGGGATGTCCGACTAACGGTTTAGGCCTAGTCCCCTGTGCTGGACAGCCATGAGCCAAATTCTGGCTGAGCGGCACTCCTTCTGTGGAAGTGCACTGACCACTAGATATCAGCTCCTGCACTGAGCATCTGCCCCCTGGTGGTTAGTGCACGTCACAGTGACCAGTCATTCCCGGTTTTTCCGCAGTTAGGGTCTTATTTGCTTATAACCCTTTTATTATATAGGATGGCACTATCAAATCTGGAAATAACTTTTAAGAAGACCTTAAAAGAAGAAATTGCTTTTATTGAGTATCTACTGTGTGGAAGACACCACAAAGGTTTACTCATTTTCTACTTAAAATAAACCTATGCAATGGTCATTAATTATTGCAAAGATTAGAAAATCAAGGTTTAGAGAAGTTAAATAACATGCCAAATAACTCA